AATAGGAAAAGAATTAAATACAAGTGATATGTACCTAATATTTTTTATTAACTTGTTAAATAATTTACAGTCTACACAAATGTGAAAACGAACATTCTATATATTGGGCATAGGCATATCAGAACTAAAATAATTTACGAATTTGTCACGAGTAGAAAATGCTAGCCTTGCTGCCCGCCGAGGATAATTTGCTATATCAGTAAAAGCTCCAAGCACGGGTTCTGGGGGATCTAAGAATTGAAAATATTTGTCATCGCCACTTTTACTTCGTAAAAAATTGTGTAAAACACATGCCGTACGTTCAATTAGAATAGTAGTATCTACTTTAGTTTCTAATGGCCTGTAAAATATTCGCCATTTTTGAGACAAAATACCAAACGCATTTTCCACGACCCTTCTAGCTCGACAAAGTCTTACATTGTATTTCTTTTTCTGACGTCTGTTAAAGTCTGCTTATAAGGAAATGGTCTCATAAGGTATGGTTTTAAAGCAAATGCTTCATCACCAATTAAGACGTACGAGCAGATTTCATTTTGCCCAGGGAGAAATCTAGGTGTAGGGACACTCATTAAATTTTGTTCAAATCGTTTTCCCATGTTTGAGGTTTCGAAAATACCCCCATCACTATTTTTTCCGAAACCACCAATATCAACACATATAAATTTATAGTCCGGGCCAACAATGGCCATAAGTACTATTGAATATTTATGTAAATAGCACCAGTAATTGGAGCCCCTGTTGTTAGGTCTCTTGATTGTTACATGTTTACCGTCCACGCTGCCAATGCAATTGGGAAATCCCCATCTATTTTCAAATTCTTCAGCACATTTTTTCCATATATTCTCTGTTGGTTCTGGTAAATATATATGCTCCATATGTCTGCATATCGCTTCACAGACTTCGGTTACGATTGCACTCACTGTTGTAGAGCCAACTCGAAAGCTATGCCCAATGGTATAGAAGGTGTCACCAGTGGCAAGGAATCTATAAAAACAATCGTTTTTAGGTGATGAAGTAAAAAAAAGGTGGAAGAATATCAGAGACACATTTGCAAAATGTCTTCAGCGTCTACCCAGAATTCTGCAAGTATGTATAATAGTAGTATGTCGTCCTTCCCAAGCGGCACTGGGTTTACTCTAATAATATACCCAACAGAGGAGGCAAATTCTGCCTCGAATTATCTAGCAACATTTAATCCTAGTGGCAACATGTAGTCCAATTATTACAATAAAATATTTATTTCACGATCCCTGAAGTTTTCGTATTCGATAAGCCAACTAATTTTAATACATATAATTTTTTTACCTGAGTGTAATAGCAAGTCGTTCTTCTGGCGAAATAGCTTCAGGATAATTTGTGTCAGATTTTCGTATTTCAGCGCTGTTCATCCAGCCGAAGTTGTGGCATCAAGGTATGGTATTCCCCAAATTTATTTCGTTCCAAGTTAATATCATGTACCCACTTCCTTCGTTTCCTAAACAAAATTGAAAATATTTTGTTTTATGTACTTCGTTAAACTTAATACATACCCAAATATCAAATGGCGTTAAATAAACATAACTGACCGTGCATTTTGTTCCTCTTCTAAAGCAAGAAATAGAAGTGCCTCCTCTTCTTCTGAAGACGAGCTCATTGCAAATGGCAAAAATAAAATGTACGCAACCTGTCGAAACCTTCACGTTCGCGGATCGAATAAGACGCTTTGGTATGAATAAACAGGCGAAACAGATTGCGAATTTCGCTCTGAATTTCGTTGCGAATACTTCGCCGCGATTATTTCGCGCCGGTTTGTGGGATGCTTTAAGTGTGACAAATTGGTTAAGGCTTTCGCGGCCACTTGATAAACTGCTGTCTTGATTCGCGTCTAAAGGCCGTCGTCGGTGGGAATTTCTTCCTAACGTTTCGCTAGCACGAGTGGCAAGCTTCTTCAGAGATCCTTCCATTTCCGGTGCTGGATGTAGACTGACGATTTCTCTTGCGCAGGTTGTATTTATACCGGAGGGTTGGGGACGTGGCTTTTTTCGCTTCGGTTGACTTCGGGATGTCGATCGGCACTGCTCGGGCGTTTCTGAGGATCGGGTGCTAGAGTCTGAGGGCTTCTTCCTTTCTGTTGAAGTTAACTGGATGTTTGTGAATCTCAATAGCTTCCCTAACCAGTCAATTGTGATAGCCGTTGACTGATGTCAGCAATCTGATGTCGTCTCCCTTTTCACCAAGGTACCGCTGAGGGAATGCCTGGACCTGTTCAGCAGGATCTTCCCTTCTGACATCTGCAAGCTCTTTGAAATCTGTCTCGCTGGAAGCTACTTCGTAAGGGACGGGGGCTTTTATGAGCAGACAGTCGGACTGGCAATGGGAAGTCCACTTAGCCCAGTCATAGCCAACCTTTTTATGGAACACTTTGAGAATAAGGCAGTTGAGACATTGGAGCACAAACCAGCAACTTGGTTCCGGTACGTGGACGACACCTTCGTGATTTGGAAACATGGCACGGACAGGTTAAACGGGTTTCTGCAGCACCTCAACGATCGGCATCCAAGCATACAATTTACCATGGAGATAGAGAGTGACCAACAACTGGCCTTCTTGGACGTACTAGTCAGGAAGCGGGGTAACAAGCTGGGTCACACAGTGTACAGGAAACCAACGCTCACAGACAGATATCTGCACGCTTTGTCCAGTCAGCACCCAAGTCAGAAGTATGGAGTCACCAGAACCCTGACAGAATGAGCTCAAAGGATTTGCGAACCGGAGAACCTCCAGACGGGACTTGAACACCTGAAAACAGGGAAAAGAGGGACATCGAAAGATCAATGTGCTCGAGATTAGCCAGGCCACGTGAAACCGAACAGCGTCCCACCACCTCTCAAGCGTATCTTCCATTTGTGCCAAGAGTCACGGACAGGATTGGCAGAGATACATTGAAACCACGAAAAGGTCAATGGGAACGAGACTCAAGGAGCACAAAGCAAATTGCCGGCTAGGACAAACTGAGAAGTCTGCGTTAGCTGAACATGCACTAAGCAATGGGGACCACAGGATACACTTTGGGAGCTGCAGGTTGCTGTCATCAGTCAACGGCTATCACAATAGCCTGGTCAGGGAAGCTATCGAGATTCACAAACATCCAAATAACTTCAACAGGAAGGAACAGAGCCTCAAACTCAACTCGATCTGGCACCCGATCCTCAGAAACCCCCGAGCAGTGCCGATCGATATCCCGAAGTCAACCGAAGCGGAACAAGCAACATCCCCTACCCTCCGGTATAAATACAACCTGCGCAAAAGAAACCGTCAGCCTACATCCAGCATCGGAAATGGAAGGACCGCTGAAGAAGCTTGCCACTCGTGCTAGCGAAACGTTAGGAAGAAATTCCAACCGACGACGACCTTTAGACCCGAATCAAGACAGCAGCTTAGTATTAAGTGTTTTATAATAAACTGTTTATAATTAATAGAAGAAATCATGAAGCCAGCTGCTCAAAAGCGATAAGATAATATGCTAATTTTAGATAATAATATTATATCGATTTTCAATGACATTGTGTAGGTTTTTTTAGTAGCTGTGATTGATTCAGGGATGGGACTAGTGGGAGACATTCATATATTCTATCTCGTAAGCTTTATATTCTATAGTATTGCTGGAATAACAGTCGTTGTGATATTTCTACATAGGCGGCGCTCATAGCGAGTAGCTGCAGAATGGGTTAGCGACTACTCAGTATACAAGTTGAAATTATACTGATTTTTGATGGCATATCGATTTTTTACATACTACCTATGCCTGTCTTCTGACCGGCAAAGTTATTACGTAAAAAACCTAAATGACGTCCAAAAAACGCGACAAACTGTCAACTTCCTGCTTAGTGAGCAAATAGTTTATTCCGCGTTTGCTCTCTATGGGTTCTGTCAGCGTCATCAATGGAGGAATGACTCAACGACAAGAAACGATCAATGCCATGCTGCAAGCTGCAATACAGTTCCCTAGCTTGCTGTGTTGGTTGCAGTATGCCGAGATTGTAGAGTATGCCACTGAGAAGATGTGACATTCAAAATAGGTTGAGTAGCAAGATCGCATCTGGATGATTGAATGGTGATTGTGTGTATTGGTCTGCAAGGGTATTAAATCAGTTTTGTCTGCTATGTGAGAAAATTGTTACTGATTATGCTGCCCTTGAAAGCAAACAAGCGAATATGCTGAATTGTTTTCCGCTATCTGTCTAGAAATGACTAGGCCTACATCGTACTGATGATTGTTGCAAAACAGGAGACAACCTTGGATACGGTTGTTTATGTTTGTAGGGACGGAGAGCAAGTAGATCCTAGTCACCCTGTAATTTTTCTTAGCTAAAGTGCTGGAGATCTATATTTCCTGGAATTTTAAACCAAATTTATCAAATTTGGGCAAACGTATTAATGACGGTTAATGGTCAAACCATAGGATTTGCTAATACTAACTTGTGCAATCCGAAATAAGGATACTCTCCACTGTACACAACCTCAGGTGCCGTGACAGGGCCGGCCCTAAAGATTCCGACGCCTCCAATCAAAGATGTTTTGATATCATTGTGGTTAAGTGGGTTGTGGATAAAAACCTTTCCATTGGAAGGAAACAGCTAATAACGTGTTACCACCAATGTGTTATCCATTGAAACTACAAAAATATAATGAAGAAAAAGCATATGTATTAAATTAGTAGTTTTAACATTTATTAATACTAATATTTATTGTCACAAAATAAAGATAAATATTAAATATTGTGCACAATAAACATAAAGTACCCAAACAATTTTGCACTTGTTTTTGCGTCTGTTAAAAATAAAAACTAAAAGTACAATCAGTGTATGAAAAAAAAACGTTAATACTGTATAATTTGGTGAATTTTTTTTATACTCCAACTACCACGAAGGCATAAGGCCTAAGCACCCATTGGGTACCGTGAGGCTATAGGGGGATACATGGGAAAGGGGGAACGCCACACGGACATGCACACATTCTGGCTCCTCCTACGAGATCCGCCGGATAGTACCTCCGCGCTCGACAGTCAGAGACTGTCTACCACCTACGGACAATCACAGCATCCATGGCCAAGAGAAAAATTCCTCCTGGGACGGGACTCAAACCCGCACAGCGCACGGCGACTGATCCGGAGACCGAACAGTCTACTACTGCGGCCACCGCTGCTGCCTAGAATTATTATGGTAATGTGAGGAAAAATATCCAGACAATTATATATATATATATATATACAGGGTGACTTCGAAGTTGAGTCATTTATTTTAACAGTGAGTAGATCTGATCAAAAGAAATGTTTTTTTTCCTTTAACATTTTTCTGGTAAAATTAAAGTAACAAAGTTATAGCCCTTTGGAAGTTTGAGTACCGCCCTGTCTAAATAATAATATTATGTGCTCGTGTTTGGCAACAACGGATATAATCCGTCTTACCGGTTCATCGCATCGGAAACAAAACAGCGAAAGAATTTGGAACGATGTTTTTACAATTATTTTATTCAGTTGTATACAGTCAGTGTCAGTCGGTAACGCGTGAGTGAATAGTGGTGTCTGTTGCGTGGCTCAAATGAAATAAAAAATGGCACATGTTTATGTGGATCGGTTTCCCAATCGAGTGCAACCAATCCCTCGTGCCTTTGTTAATGTAGTACAACGAGCTCGTGAATCAGGTGACTTAAGACCTCACAGGGGACGGCATGTCGGTGCTCCAAGACCTCACGATCAAATACAGGTTCGCACTGAAATACTTGTCGGGAGGATACTTTATAAAAAAGGTAAAATTTTTTTTTTAATTTTTCTTTTATTTTTACTCACATATTTTGGTTTATCTTCCTTCTACAATCATTATCTGAAAATTAATGACTCAACTTCAAAGTCACCCTGTATATATAACTAAAGTAAAAGTAAGGATATTAGTGTACGAAAAATATTATTGATTTTGATAATGATTTTTCATATCTACAATTTCGCGGATGGAGCACTTTGGTTGCTGTAAAATCCATTTTTTTAGTTCTTTTTTAAGTGATCTGTTTGATTTAGCTACTTTTAGTGACTCTGGTATGAAGTTATATAATTTTGGGCCCAAGAAAAACAGAGATCGTTGTGAAATGGCTTTTGATGTTTGTGGAATACACATTGAATTTTGATTGGATCTTGTTGGGTAGTTATGAACGGTACGATTCAAGGATTTCGAACATTTAATATAGTGTATTAGATCATAATAAAAATAAATTTGTGTGCAAACTAATAGCTGAAAAAAAAAAACAAATTCATCAAGATGATATGAATTTAAAAAATTCAGCAGTTTAACATCCAGAGCATTGTTTTTAGTCTTAGATGCCCAGATACTGAGTCATCACATGAATAACGTGTAAACTGTTGCATACACATATGCAACCAATATTGCAGAGGTTCCTAATCCGCCTCCGGATTAGCTTGGAATTAAAATGGGTTATTGGAACAGGTATTAAGTTTGAACTGGAGCTAGTAATCCCGGGTACGCAAAGAAACTATCCCGTAACACCCCTACCTTGTTTAGTCTATTCCTGTTTATATTAGGATTAAAACGCCTGTGAGATTCTATGCAAAAAAGCCTAAAATTGCAGAAAAGTAGTGTGATAAACATGTATTCTCGCAAAAGAGTTTTTAAACAGTATTGTCATGTTTACCAGAACCTTGACTCGATCATTCCGTTTGTTATAAATTTATATTGAATAATGACCTCCTTTTACTTCCCACGCCTTCTGGCGGCATGTATCCTGCTCATATTTGAATAAAGTGTTAGAGGTTGTTGGGGTGTGGGTTCATCCCAATTTTTCGTTTTTCGTGCATTTATACCCAACCCTGTTTGACTGACTTTTTTCTCTATGTTGTGCTGATCACAATTCTTGACGCCATTTTTTGATTGAATTATTGCGAAACTTATTGTAAATTCAAAAAGAAAATTAGTGAAAATCGTGTATTGGAATAATTTTTGTAGACAATAATTTCAGCGATTTGGCGCCTTAGATCGTTGCTCTGCACTGGGGCCTGCCCTGGCGGAAGCTATATGTAGAAGATAAAGGTTGTTTTTATTATAGCTTGCCCTTGTGACAGTATAAAAAGGATTTATAGTCCACCTTGATGATCCAGAGCTGTGGACAATTTAGCCAGCGTTTAAAGTACTTTCCTCGCCTCGGAGAGTTATTTAAAAATGCAGAGCAGGTAACTAGCCCATTACGTGATTGTTAATGACCATTAGACCAAAATTACACCGGGGTTTGTCTAATACTCGTTGAGTTAATAAAACTGGCGGGTTCTCTAATGAACGGCCGGACATTAATTGCTGGAGGTTTCATTTACATCCAGGAATCCGTTATTAAATATATATGGTATGGCTGGAACTACCATAAATCCACATTATTATCCCAACACGTCGCATACGTTAAACTTCCATATACTTGTGGAGTTTTCCGTTATTGACCCCAACCTCGCATTCCATATATCCACCCTACAACAGCCCGGCAATTCAGCAGTTCATTAACATATTGTGGGGTAGGATATTTTATTCTCGTCGAGGGAAAGTATTATTATAGAAGTCACTGAGTGGAGACCTATATATAGTAAATATGTGTGTGTATATATACTAAGTGACATATAAATCCGAACACCCAGTTTAAATGGTTTTATTTTAATAAAATTTTGTATAAGTACTTAATGAAGCATAATAAGTAAATGATAAAAATTTCAAAATGATTGCACTGCTTTAACGCCCTTTGACCTTTAATAATGTGTGGATGCACCCTGATGTGCTACGCATTCTCCAAAGCGCCTAGGCATGCTTCTGATCAGGTGGTCAATGTCCTCCTGTGGTATCTCATTCCAGGCAACCAGCAACTCCCCTCGAAGTGCTTCTAGAGTCTGAGGAGGACGTTGCAAATTGAGCAATCTCCTACCCATCATATCCCACACGTGCTCAATTGGGGATAAGTCGGGAGATCTTGGTGGCCATGCTAACAATGTGACATCATTATGTTGAAAGAAGTCTATTGTGACTCTTGCAACATGTGGTCGGGCATTATCTTGTTGGAAAGTTGGATCTGCCAGGGTGTCAAGATAGGGTAAAAGATGGGATTCTAGAACTTCGTGGATATAACGCTGCGCGTTCATATTACCTCTGATGAAGATTAAAGGTGACCTGGAACCATAAGCTATAGCACCCCAAACCACAACTCCAACAGTGTGATGAACATGTCTTTCAACAAAAAACTGTGGATTCCTCCTTTCACCAAGTCGCCTTCTAACCGTGGCACGGCCATCGTGCATGCCTAAACAAAATCGAGACTCGTCACTAAAGACAATACTGTTCCATTCCTGATCCCAGAGTGACCGTTGTCTGCACCACTCTAGGCGATTACGTCGGTGTTCTCGAGTTAAAGGGAGGACCCAGTGTGGCCGGTATGAAAACAAGCCAAAACTTCTCATTCGTCGGTAAACACTTCGCATGCCAATAGGTCTTCCGTGTTCTGCAAACCATTCATTTGCAATGGACCTGGTAGTGGAGAAACGGTCCCTTAAGGCCAATAATCTTAGACGGCGATCTTCACGGTCTGTTGTTCTACGGCGGCGTCCAGTGCCCCTTGCTCTTTGCGTACGGCCTTCTCGAAGCCATGCCTGACAATACCTAACCACAGTGTCTACACTTCACTGCACTCTAACTGCAATTGCCCGAAAAGAAAGTCCAGCTTCCCGAAGTCCCACTATACGGCCCCTATCAAACTCACTAAGTTGACGAAATCGTACAGGTCTCCGTACTCTTGGCATCGTAACCGATCGTAAAGGATGTCAAGAACCAAAATCCGCCAACGTTGATTCTTTACTGCGGCTGAAATATTCATTTTTAGAGTGTTAGTGAATTAAAAAAAAGCAGTATAAAAACCGGAATGTCCAACGGATAAGGCTGAAAACTTTTTCACTTGTTATTTACAGTAAGGTAAATACAGTCACCAACTTTTATTAAAATAAAACCATTTAAACTGGGTGTTCGGATTTATATGTCACTTAGTATATACATATAATACTGTCCTCACCGTAATCAACTTCGACCTCAACCCGACCTCATATTTATTCTTATAAGTTTTTCAGTAAAGCAGCGGCTTTCGTATAAATGCAAAATGACAGCAACGGAATTGTCAATCGCAATCTGACACTCGTTATCACATTTATTTCTACTGCATACGAGCCATTATTCCCTTGTAGTGGCTGTGTGTGTTGTCTAAACGCCAACTATGTGCCCTCGGTTTCAGAGTGTTTAACTTTAATGTAACATCTGTTTCTGATATGGCACTTGCGCAGACCATTCCTAGCTATCATGTATTTATTTATTATTATCATTTCAATTAACCCCAAAGACATATTACATGTATGAGCTCCTTCCCACTTCAGTTGGCCCAACTATTGAAATCTTAACACAAATAATAAAAATGTAGCAGAGTGTTATAGGTTTAAAATATAAACAATGAATATTTTGATAATATATAGTAGAAAACACCAACTTTGTCACTCCCTAATCAAGTTTGCAGCATAAAAATAACAGATGTATCAACCTATTTTCATTTCAATGCAAAATAAGTCTATAACGCATAGGTGGCTGTGAAAAACAAAAGCCATGAGAATTGTTTTTATTAATCACAGCTGTCAGAAAACGCTTAAAATAGTTTTGGGTAGTTAAGGTTTTCAAAATGGGTAGAGGAAAGGTTATTAGTGAGATAATAAAATAAAACTTTGTTAGACTTATCGCGGTACAGTGTAAGAAATATAGCAAGAAGATATAACGTAACCGGTTCAGTTAATATTAAGCCACGATATGTGAAAAAAAGTAATATCACAGATGCCGACCGAAGAGCATTAAGAAGAATAATCGTGAAAAACAGGCGTGCCAATTATTTACAATTAAGTGCTCTGTGGAGTGACGCTGTTGGAAGGAGACTTTTGAGGTCCACAACTCATAGAGAGGCCCACAAACTGGGATTTAGCACTTGCAAGGTAAGTTTTCTTATAAAAAGTGAAGTAAAAACCCTAAAGTTGCACAACTTGTTTATAGGCCAAAGAAAAGCCACTATTAACTCCACTGCAAAAGAAAAATCGGATTCGATGGGCTAAAGAACATAAACAATGGACACCTCAACAATGGTGT